TACACGTAAAAATCGAAGCAAATTTACCACGAAAAATCGTGTCTACAGATTAGAACAAAGAAAGAAAAAGAAGAAATAAACATCTTAGTAAAACCAATAGCTCCCTCGTTACGCTGGGAATCTAAAAAAAGGAAAGAAAATAATTGATACTGCTGATGAGTGTGCCACTATTGTAAGTAAATTGTCAAGAATGTAGAATTCACAATTTTATTTAATTAATATCTATATGTATCGTTATAACCCACTGCTAATGAAAATCGAGTCTTAGCAAATTTGTTTAAACATGTTTTAAAATGTCGTGATTTTAACATTTTCCATCAAAAGAATCTTGATGAGGTTGTAGCGCTGTAGCATCCAGCGGTACTTATATTATCATACACCCAGGACAGTTTTTATTTACTTATAATAATAAAATATATAATATAATATAATAGTATAGGATTATTTTAGAAACATTATTGGATAATTAAGTTAGGAAGGTTTATAATTATCGTAGATGTGTTTTTTATTTAAAAAAAAATTAAATAAATGCAGAGTACTGGAATTCATTCTACTACCTTAAAAAAACTTTACAAATTTTTCAAAATTTTTAACAAAATAATGATACTAATTTGAAACTGATCAGACAAAGTCGGGGTATCAATTTCACAGACATGATTATTTTCCGTTTTATTCCAAACACACTTTCCCCTCATTAAAAATATAATACAAATGTCTACAGTCGGGTTTTTGTTCAATTATAAATGGAGCAAAGAAACTATTATTTATATTAAGATGGGTTTTTTTTTTTTTTTTTTTTACTCAGAAATCATATTTTCACTATTAATTTAATATATTTGTAATTTTTCCGTTGATAAATTACTATTATGCTGTTGTTCGTTTAAAGCAGATCTCATAATATTTATTATAAAAAATTTGAAAATATCAAATGCCTATAAATAACCGAATAATCGCTAGAATGATTTGAAAATCGTGGCAATATTTCTCGTGGAAAAGTCGTTAACAGGCGAATAAAAGTATACATCGTAATGGAACAAATACATTAAGGTCTTAACGATTATATTTAATCGAATTAAGCAAGAAAAAAAAAATGAAATTAACGGAAAGCGTTTTTACTTACATCATATTTCCGTTTAGCCGGCATTTTCTCACGGGGTTTTCCTATTAGTAAGGAAATTTAAAGAAAAATTAAAAAACCACCCTTTGTGCACCGACTAGACGAAGGCAGTTGGAAAACATAACATGTTACACTTGAATATCGGAGCAAAAGTTTCGGTAGAAAATTTATTTACAGACGGAACAAAACACAATACATACACATACATCATAATAAAACCAATACATTTTTAGCCGCGCTCAGAATCTAAAATAGACACTACCGTTTGCGTGTAATATTTTTTTAATACACCGGGCGGCCACTTAACATGTATAATATTATACAATATATTATTGGCGTGTTTGGCGATACAGGCGATCCGATTTCCGGGACCGTGTCGGTAAATTGCGTCACGTTCCGCCGTGTTTTGTTTTTATTTTCTTGTTTCCAAAGAAGGAATTCCGGCATAATAATAACGGCCGAGTTAATGAAAATGTCAGCGATCCGATAGGCGCGCGCCCGCCCGCACAGACGTCCGATGTTATACTATATTATTATTCGTTCTTTTTCCTTCTTACGACAAACTTCAAATCACGATTTACTCGTAAAAAAAAAAAAATAAAATAAAATAAAACGACGACGACGACAAAGATTTACGACCGCCGACAGACAATTTTACCGACTAACAGNCTATATAAAGGACGAAGAAGGTATAACTCGATAAACGTGTTTCAAAAAAAAAAAAAATTCCCATTTCGTACCGTAATAATGTTAGTAAAGTATGTATACATATTATATTTTTTTCTTTATAAATGCGTCAACGATTAAAACATAAAAACCGTGTAATGAATAATCGAATTAGTCAAAACCGATCGTTATTTTAGTGTATTTCATTGACGCAATACTATAGAGGGTGATTTTTTTATCATGAACCAGTCAATATCACGGTAAGTATAAGAATTTTAAAATAATTTTTTTTTTTTAAACTATATAGTTTTTCTGTTCCACATTGTGATGTAATTTTTAAAATTTTAACTGCTTCCATTTTTTAAACTAATAATAAACCTTTATTACCTTTGTCTTAAAGCTTACCAAAAGAGTTATCATTAAATAACAAGATTGTATCATCTACGAAACAAATTATTTTACAATTAATGTTGAATTTTAATAACCCATTTATATTGGATTAAATACTGTGCATTTTTGGACAACGAAAGGAGTTTCAATCTCATTACTAAAAAAAATTGTCTATTTTAACTACTTGGGTGTTGTTATTATTCTCACACAATTTGTATTTTATTTACTTTCAACTACTAAACAGTTTGAAGTATAAAAAGACGTCCTAGAAAATAATGGGGACGGGTGCAGCCACTGTTATAGGTAATTTAATGTATAGTCGTAAGCAATGATAAACAATTGATAACGAAAAAATGATTCTGAGCTTTAGTTTAGTTAATCAACGAGTTTGGTTGATATTGATGCTATATCAACAATATATATGCCATATTATAGTAAAATAATTAAGTTGGCTTTATATTTTTTCTTTAATAATATTTATTTTATGATGTACCGATTTTCCCGGTAAAATTTGCTAAACGTAAAAATCAGAGTAAGTCTTCCGGTAGAAAAGTTGTCCACAGAAAAAAAAAACAACTTGTAAAACCATTAACTTCTTCGCTTCACTCAAAATCTGAAACACAACATATCTACATACATGTATGCAATGCTATTCTGCTTTGTACTAACATCCGACAATGTTACGTTTTATGTACGTATTTGTAGGTTCAATTACGACTCGTTGGAAACTATGTGTTTCGTGTATTTATATAAGTATCTTGTCGGGAGGACATATGCCGTGACTTTATATGCCACCTATATAAAAGACGAAAGCGAAAAACCTGAGATCGTATACTATTTTCTGTACTAACAGAAAGTTACTTAACGGAAGTAAGTTTAAGATATGTTCAGTATTTCCATATATTATATTATAATATATATTCATATATTCATCACTGAGAAAAATCATAATAAAAGACAACTTCGGTTGTGGCGTTTAAGTACTTACGTTGTTAATTTAAATTACGTGTCTACCTTTATAATCAAATTTTGGAAGGAAATTAATCATTTACCTACCTAATTATATATCTACTTACATTGTACTATGCAAGACACCTGTATCGTAAATCACGTTTACATGTTAATACTTTATACTTACAAACATGAAACATTTAAAACATGCGAATATACCGATACAATTCTAAACCCAATATTGCTAACAATTATTGTTGACTATTAAAATTGACATATTTAGAGTATTTTTAACTTAGAGATAGCAAGATTTTTAACACAAATGACAGCCGGTGAATTAGCGTTATAATTTTGTTTCAGTTACAAGGACATTCATGCTGACGGTAAGTTTAATTATTTTGTATCAAAAAATAGTGTGAATAGGACAAATTGTAGATGTTTTTTTGCTAATATATTTGGGAATATCATTTATTTGCACGTTTTTATATTAATTCCTATTACATTTTATTAAGGTTGCTGAAACTGTTGTCACATACGAAATCGTATTGCTGCAATTCAATACGGCACCCAACGAAACGATAGACGAGATCATCACTAATAACAAGTGTCCATAATTGTTTTTGATGCATACGACTCGAAAATTCAATAAATAATAAAGTCAACTTAACTAAATATTTTTCAAGTATTTTAGCTATTAATAATAATTAGCTTATATAATAACATAGACTCTTTAAGCGATAATATATTAGGCGATATATGTATTGTGTACAATGTGTTTATTATAATATACCTTTCTTTAAAAGAAATGACATCGCTTTTTAAAGAGCATTCGTTACAAAATGTATAATATACATAAGATTATAGACAGGTAACCTGTTTTTTTTGGTCATAGTATAGGTGATATTACCTATAGTTTGTACTCTTGTAATTAATATTTCTGCAATACTATAATAAATAATAATACCTATACCTATGTAATGACTAATTACTATTTCATACAGGTACCATATTATGCAAGTTTTAAAACATCATTAATTAGTGTTTAGAGTGTCTTAAAAAAATATAAGTGATTGAAAGAGATAAAAGGATGCTTTAGAAATGACACACAAAAAAAAACTCAACGTCTTTGTACAAACAATTATTTTATTGTACGTTTATAGGTTACTCGTGATGGTTTTAGTGTTTAAATACGAATAATAATTTTCAAAATTTCGAAAATTACATCATGTGATGTCGAACGGAGTTTTAGTAAATATAAGAACATCTTAAGACTTGACAAAAGATTTTTCATTTTTAAAAATTGAAAATATTATGTAATTGTTTCATCCAATGACCATATTTTTTAGATTTCAGAACTTTGTAAACATATTATTTTTTTAGCGTCGGAGCGTCGATATCTAAAATAGTTTTTCTAATAATAGGGAAAAACCAAAAAATTAAAATTGATCAACATTTATGGCAGGGTTTAATAAATTATTCGGTTTGTTTTGTAATATATATAAAAAAATATACTATAATGTGATACACGAGCCAAATAACACTGACCGATTGCATATCAAGAACGACTGGATCTAGAAACAATTTTAGATCTATTATAGGAAAATTGTGCATATATGTTAGAAAACCCCGCGTAAATATAGCCATAAAAACACGAAACTTTAATATTATAAATATTCCACCGTTTCCGTTGGTTACAAGGAAAAAAAAAATTATGATCAATATGCTCGTATATAATTTCATTTATTTGGATATTGATTTTTTTCACGATATGATAAAATCTCAAAACCAATAAGATTTACTATCGCGAAAGTAATTTTCAACGTATGCATAGTTCTATTTACCTGTGTATACAACATATTATTCTACAAGATTCATCATGCCGAACTACACGGCAAGAAGTAAGTCAAATATTTTATAATTTTATATCGAAAATCGGTTTTCTTATTAGTTATTATATCATCGGTCAAATATTATATTACAAAAAAATTAAAATGTATACGGCATTTATAACCTATTTAATTATTTAACTTTTTGCCGTATTTCGCATTTTGTTTAACTCATATGTATAACTAATATGATTAGTGAACCGATGGAAGAAGCAAGACATAATTTAGATACTTTAGATCAAGAAATATATTCGATTACAAAATTATTCTCTCTATATATTGTTTTAATTTTGTTTTTGTTTTTGTTTTTTTCGTTACAAGGAATTCAATATTATTATATATTTAAAGTCCAACACTAGTCAAAAAATTAAGACTTTAATTATAATAAGTGAAAATAAAATGTATTAATTTAGAAATTATAATTAATACTTATAATTATTATTTAGAATACAATTTACAAATGTTCAACCAAAGAATTAGTATTTTTGTTTTTTTTTATTTAAGTATTCATATCAGTATATTTATATAACGACATTTTAGACACTAAATAGGGTAAATGTTACTCATATATTGTATAAAAGATTAATATACCTATGAATAATGCAAACTTTTTAGTATGGGGTAATGTTGTTTCCACGTGGACAACATTGAAAAGGCAACCAATTTTCAATAGAACCAGGAGTGGTGACTCTGATGGAAACAAAAAAATTAAAACCACGACGTGTGCCTGTCCGGATACACCTCTGTATGTATAAACAGAATACAAGGGACCAATTTTTGAAATCGTACCATTCATTCTCGTATGCGACTTATAACTTATTGGTGTTTTTGAACGAAATCGATAAGATGTTATCACTAATCGAACATGATAAATTACCTTTGTCGACCGAACAACGTTTAGAAAATCATTTAGATTTCAAGAGAAAGAAATCTATATAAACGTAAAATTAAAACTAACAAATCTACGGTGTTACGATTTCATTATTTAACATTTTTACGGCTTATGTTTCTAACCATAAATAATTTTTTGCGCGGTTTCGTGTATTTCAGTAGCGCGGAAAGTCCGAATGACGAAACGTTGAAGAAAAACATGTGGCTCAGGAAGAGTTTAATTAGAATTGCAGTCAGGAACAGCAGGTATCTACTTAAAATTATTAATAATGTATTGGTACTATTGTATTTTTTAACTTTTAGTTTAGATTTTATGTACAGTTATATTTTATTTTGCATCAAACGTACTAGAAATAATTTACAAAGATATTTTCAAACGCTTTAATTAACCAAATAACTTTATTTAAAATTATGTTATACACATTGCATAAATTACAATTTGACTTCAAGAAATCGGTACCACAGGCGCGGATCCAACTGGGGGGGTGGATGATGGGACATACACCTGGGACATACAATGCACATCCGTACATTTTTTTAAATTATTACTAAATTTTATTATCTTATAACTAACAAAAAATACTCATAACAATATGTTTTGGATAATAAAAAAAATTTACTTTGTCTCATAATTTTTAAATTAACAATCAGGTAGTCATTAATAAATTTCAGAATTGTTTTTAATTTTTGACCCACTCTGATTTTTCTGATTATCTAATTGCGTATCTCCAGAATTCGTACAATCATCAATAATAAATTAGTAATAGTTGGAATAGGTTGGGAAACACCAGAACACACATTATCTTATCTATATTTCATAAAACCAATTATTTTATATTTACATACCTACGTTACAGGTATATATTTTACGACTCAAAGGAATTATTCATTCCGTAAGACTATACTTAAATAATTTTATACCATTTGTTTTGTGAATTTAAATAATGAGTCCCTCCAAAACAAGTTAAATAGAAAAAAAAGCGTCCTAGGATAATGAGGTCGTGTGCAGCAACTGTTATAAGAAATTTAATGTACACCTGTAAGCAACGATAGTTTTTTCGTTAGTAATGGTTTATCGTTGCTTACAGGTGTACAGTAAATTTCTTATAACAGTTGCTGCACATTACTAACAAAAAAACAATTCTGAGCGGGAGTCGGCTATTAGGTTTTTTTTGTCAACAATTTACTTGTCATATCATGGTTAAATTCCAATTATTCCAATTCCAAAATTAAAATGTATCCCGTTTTTCCTCCGTTTTTTTAGTTATTCGCATTTGATGAGAAAATCGAAAATTGACCTTTTTAACGTATTTCCCTAGTCGGTTTTCCTTTAACAAAAGGTGCTCTACATAAAAATCGGGATAAGATCTCTAGGAGAAATATCATTGACAGAAAACAAAAAAAAATTTAAAAAAAACATCATCTTAATACAACCATAATCTTCTTCGCTCAACTAAAAATCTAAAAGTTATTGTACTTTTGAAAACGAGCCACCCTTGGGTGACTTCTGGATCCGCTACTGTCTACCCATAATGGGCAGTTTATAATTGCGTGTTTCTTTCTTTAGCTCAAAAATTCATTCATACGGTATGAAGTCGACGAAAAAACCGTAAGCATATTTAATATATTATACACACGTTTTTATATATATATATATAGAGTTTTTTTACTATACACACATATATATATACTTTGTTCGGCCACTACTTATCACTTATCACGCGTGGTAACTACAGTCTTACCTTTTTTTTGAAAAATATACCAAGTATTTATTTTTATGCAATGCCATTTTGATCGTATGCGTCAAAGAATATCACGAGTTTTTAAGACCAGTCCCATGNCATAAAAATCGGGATAAGATCTCCGGCAGAACAGTCATTCACCAAAAACAAAAAAAAATAACATCTTTGTATAATCATAGTTTTCTTCGCTCAACTCAAAACCTAAAAGTTATTGAACTTTTGAAAAAGGGGTGACTTCTGGATCCGCTACCGTCCAGCCATAATGGAAAGTTTATAATTGCGTGTTTCTTTTTTTAGCTCAAAAACCGATCCATACGGTAAATGGAAGTCGACGATAAAACCGTAAGCATATTTAATATATTATACACACGTTTTTTTATATATATGTATATATAGTTTTATTTACTGTACACACATATATATATAATTTTTCGGCCGGTACTTATCATTTAACACGCGTGGTGGCTACAGTCTTACCTTTTATTTGAAAAATATACCAAGTATTTATTTTTATGCAATGCCATTTTAATTGCATTCGTCAAAGTTTATCACGATTTTTTAGGACCAGCCCCATGATAAAAGGGATTAATATATATAAATATATATATATCTAATAAAAAAAAAACAAACATTATTGTGATTCATTCGTTTTTGTCTCGTTAGGCCGCCTACCAATTTATACACAATTTACGAGGTAGACGAGAGTGGCCATGAAGAAGTTGTGGAGACTTCATCGCAAGCCACCAACGTGTCTGCCTCAAAGTTTGTATATTCATACTTAACGACATCCGCACATTATTCTATAAGTTCCGAAGTCCCGCCATTGCATCGGTTTTCCTATGATACGTCACCTTATTTACCCTTATGTTAAAATTTTTAGCTGATGCGTCGTGATACATTTGTTATCATAATTTGTAAACGTAACATNGACTTCATCACAAGCCACCAACCTGTCTGTTGCAAAGTTTGTATATTCATACTTAACGACATCCGCACATTATTCTATAAGTTCCGAAGTCCCGCCATTGCATCGGTTTTCCTATGATACGTCACCTTATTTACCGCCATGTTAAAATGTTTAGCTGATGCGTCGTTATACATTTGTTATCATAATTTTTTTTTAAATAAGTTTCACACCTAAATATAATTGTCATAAGTTGCCTTCATTATTGTATGGTACCTATATTTATAGCCAACCTTTGGTATATTATACTTTAAAGATGGTATTCAAAATTTTCAAATATTTTAAGCGATACATATATACAATATTAAACATGTATACTGAATTCCTACATTAGTACTTAGAAAAATGTACACACTGAACACACTGAATGCAATACGCTATTCACCGTAATAATTTTATGAAAATAAACCGTGTATATTTCTCTGGTTATAACTTATAACGTTTAGATAGGGACGTTTACGATAATAAAGTATTGACCGTCAATAACGTAGTAAATATTATGAATATTATTTTGTCACATGAATAGTACCGTCATTGCTTGATCATCGACGATAACTGATAATCTAATTCCTGGGAAAATAACCAAGTTTTGCTATAAATAGACGAGAACAAGACTTAATGTAGTACGATATTATTTCCTTGCCTTCAAGCTATAGCGACGATTGTAGAATCACTGCCGAAAAATTCCAAAAACGGGCGATCTACCCATCGCCTCCCCCCCTTAAATACGTCACTGTGCTATCGTATAAACGGTCCGAGTTTTCGTTGTAATGGTATAATGCAGACTTCTGATTATCGAGCTGGCCAACGAAAACCTTGGCTATCTAATGTTCCTTATGCGTTAACCACAACCATTTTTACGGGTTTTTAACCATAAATATATTTTTACGCGGTTTCGTGTATTTCAGTGTCGTCGAAAGTCCGAATGCCGAAACGGTAGTGACAAATATGTGGCTCGGGAAAAGTTTAAAAAGTATTGCAAACAGGAACAGCAGGTATCTACTTAAAATTACTAATAATGTATTGGTTGTATTGTATTTCTTTATTTTTAGTATAGATTTTAATGTACAGTTATATTTTATTTTGCATCAAACGTACTAGGAATAATTTACAAAGATATTTTCAAACAATTTAATGAACCAAATAACTTTATTTAAAATTATGTTATACACATTGCTAAAATTACGATTTGACTTATCACGAAATCGGTACCACGGGCGCGGATCCAACGTGGGGGTGAAGATTATGGGATATACGAATTTATAGCGAGAATTCAATAAATAGTGGCTTCAATACAGGTTAAATAGAAAAAAAGACTTCCCAGGATAATGAGGTCGTGTGCAGCAACTGTTATAAGAAATTTAATGTACACCTGTAAACAAGGATTATCCGTACTAAAGAAAAAGCAATTCTGAGCTGATGTCAGATGATAGTGCTGCTTTATCAACAATCTACATGTCATACAATGGTTAAATGCCAATTATCCCAATTTCAAAATTAAAATGTTTCCCGTTTTTCCCTCGTTTTTTTCGGTTATTCGCATTTAACGGGAATATTCCTAAGAAATTCGAAAAATTACCTTCCTAAGGCATTTCCCCAGTCGGTTTTCCTTTCATAAAACGTGATCTACATAAAAATCGGGATAAGACCTCCGGCAGAACAGTCATTCACCAAAAACAAAAAAAATAACATCTTTGTATACTCATAGTTTTCTTCGCTCAACTCAGAATCTAAAAGTTATTTAATTTTTGAAAACGAGGGTGACTTCTGGATCCGCTACTGTCCAACCGTAATGGGCAGTTTATAATTGCGTGTTTCTTTTTTTAGCTTAAAAACTGATCCATACGGTAACGGGAAGTCGACGATAAAACCGTAAGCATATTTAATATATTATACACACGTTTTTTTATATATATGTATATATAGTTTTATTTACTATACACACATATATATATAATTTTTCGGCCGGTACTTATCATTTAACACGCGTGGTGGCTACAGTCTTACCTTTTATTTGAAAAATATACCAAGTATTTATTTTTATGCAATGCCATTTTGATTATTGAAAAAACCAAGTTTTGCTATAAATAGACGAGAACAAGACTTAATGTAGTACGATATTATTTCCTTGCCTTCAAGCTATAGCGACGATTGTAGA